GAGACAATTCAGAATGAATTTTACGTTAATGATTGTATTTCCATACATAGTAAAATTATGAAGGATTCAAATGCCACCAGCCTAAAACCTCTTAGTCAACTGCAATGAGAAACACTATGCGAAAGTGTGGATATCCATTATTGCTACTGCCCCTGGAAGAAACTCAGCATCAAAGAAATACTACAAGAGGAAAAACTTCCATTCATTTTTCATCAAAAATGACAAATTTTGTACTCAGTGTATTTTTCAGGTTCACTTGGTTTTACCTGACAAAATTTATTTTCATTTCAGTGCCATTATTGCCAGTATTATTCCAATATCAGAAGAGTTTACAGGTAAATTATTTTACTATTTATATGCAATTCTAACAAATAGAAAAAAACATAGTGTTGATACACTTACTCACTGGCTGTTCCAGATGACAGTCTAAAATTAGCACCCTGCATTGCCGCTCAGAGGAATAGTGGACTGACAGAGAGGAAAGATTTCTCATTCCCTCTGCTTCCTCTACTTGAGGGTTACCAGGTCAAAACAAGATGAGACCCACACAAAAGCCTAGGAACAGCCTCCATCTTTGGCAACTAAGGCTTCCTTAACTTGTATTTTCTTGAATAATTTTTAAAAGCTTTTTTGACAATAAAACACAAATGTTACGGGCAGATGCAGCATTAAATTCTCTTATCTGCTTATCTTCTTCTGAGTGTAAAAATAGTCACCTTGAGTCAATTTTTTTCCTCATTTTGTGTTTGATTAGCTTCATTGCTTCCTCTGATTGCTTTCCTGTCCCCAGTATCTCTTTACAGGTATGTCTCTTCAGCTGCAAGCTTTACCAAAGCAGCCATTGCTGGGACACCACTGATGCAAGGAATGAGCTGGAGAGTGAACTGCCAAGAGTCAGGCAGAATTCTTGTCTTCTCCTTAAGATGTATGTCCGTGCCACTTTTCTACTGTCACTTTACATCTGTGCAAACCCAGGTAAGGTACACTACGAAAGTGTTGCTGTGGTTATTAAAGGCTTTCTTAGTGAAGAAAAGGAAGGAAAAGCAACTGCTTTTCATTATTGCTCATTAATTACTTTTCAGGAGATTATTTACTGAACAACAACAAAACAACTTCTTAGGAAAAGACAGTCAGGGAGTAGGGCAGTGTTTGAGTCAATGATGTTTTCTTAACATCAAAAAGTTACAGTTTCCAGAGAAGGAAATCAAAAGCCTCTTGTTTACCTGGAAAGCAAAAAGGAATGGGGGACAAAGGAGGAAGAGATATTCAAGTGATGGTATTTGTCTTCCCAAGTAGTACTTATGCATGATGAAGCCCTGCTTTCCTGGTGATGGCTGAACACCTGCCTGCCCATGGGAAGTAGTGAATTAATTTCTTATTTTGCTTTGTTTGCATGCACAGCTTTTGCTTTACCTATTAAGCTGCCATTATCTCAACCCATGAGTTCCCACATTTTTATCCTTTTGATTCTCTTCCCCATCCCATTGAGAGGGGAATAAGCAAGCTGCTGAGGGGGTTGAGCTGCCTACTAGGGTTAAAACACACCACTGTGGCTTAACTGGTCTCTTAAAAATTGAAATCAAAAAAGCACTACACTCACATTTCAAATCAGCCAGATCCATTATTTTTAATAAAGCTTGGTACTGAAAGACTACACAACAACCTGTGGGTTTTTTCCGCTTACTATTAGAAGAATGGAAGGAATTCTAAGAATTAAAACATCTGACTTATTGAAATTGGGGAGTTGGAGCATCGTGTAACTATGCATATGTTAGAGTGACGTAGTGTTTACAGAAAGGAATTTCTTCAATACAGTAGTAGTAAGAAAAATCGTAAAACTTCCTGTTTATTTGGAATTGCTTTTACAAAGACTTCTTGGAATAAACTTTCAACCCCCGGTGTTACTATAACATATAAGATACCACAAAATGTCAGCATTTAGGAATACTGCTATTTCTTACACAGTCTACCAGAATAATCCATTTACGAACACTTTAGTTTCCACTACTGTGCCACCTCCAGCATCAATTCCCTTTACATTGACACATAATTTGTCAGGCTTTTTTCATTCTCCATAGCCTGACCATGGGTTTCATTTAACATTAAAAGCTTTGTCTATTGACCTACTCGATTATTAAAACACTTGAAAAGGCTATGGCAATTGCTTGCAACTGTGCATCAGAACACAGATCAATCCCAAGTGCCTCAGTGAACTCTTGTTACACAGTGTAAGTGTTATCATAACCAAATGCAGCATTATACATCTAGGAAGAAGGGTCATACCCTCAAAGTAGAAGATTGTATTCTCATTAGCAGTGGCTCTAAAAGAGGTGTCAGTATGCAGGGGATGAGCAGCTCCGTATAACCTGCTGACACAGTATTACAGGAACCAATGCAATCTTTACATATCAGGTGTTTCCACACCTGCAGAGCAATGTCACACCTGTTTGACACCATGCAAAGTACACAGGAGCAATGCACCTGTTTTACAGACAAGTCACAAGATCAAAGTGACTGCAGAAGAAAGCTTGCTTTCTTCCTGAGAGCAGGAAAAAAAGGTGTCTTAATGAGACAGACAGGATAAACAGATAGAATTTCTTCATTAAGAAGACAATTAGCCATAGAATTTTTGCAGAGAAAAAATACCTTGCACTAGAGAGCTCTCTGACCTGGGAGAAACGCCTAAGAGCCAAAAATGGAAGCCCAACTGCCTAGTGTACAAATTAAATTCCCACTAGCAATAAGCCACTAAAAAAAAACCTATCAGATATATTTCAGAAGTCAAAAAACCCCAGTCTTTAATTCAAGATCTAGAGTTTTTCTAGAAAATATATCTAACCATACAGCAGTTATTGAACTCAGTTACAGAAAAAAAGACTTAAGAAAAGAAAATAACTTATGACGTAAATCCTGACCACACAACAGGATGGTTCATGCTATAAAAAAACCAACAACAACAAAATCAGGAAACTGAAGGCCCAAAGACACTAGGCCTGAAGAAATCTGATTCCCCTCCATGTTGCATGGCCTTGACTGCATCCAGGTGCACGGTCTCTTCCTCTCTCTCTCCTATTAATGTCAGCCATACAGTTTTACTATAATGCACTGTGGTACACGAGTTCTACCAGCTGTTTGACATAGTATTTGAAGGATAACTGAGAGGAATAGGACACTTAAAGGAGTAGGGCACTGATGCAGATAAGACAAGCTGTTTGCCTGAAGTTGCTCCTTTCCAAAACTTACTATGGAAAGGCCTGCAATTTGTATGTATTATAGGCACAGTATACAGTTGACCCTGTGTAAACAACATTGCAAAGTGAGCATATTTTCAACCGTTTTGCTCCTCTAGAAATGTAACTTCCAAGACTAGATTGCCATGGTAATTCTCTATTATTTAGAATATAATAAATACCTCTATTCTAACCTTTCCCTCTACACAGGCAAGAGCTTTTTTCTCCCCTTCTACAAGCACAATTACCTTGTGTTAAGCACAGAACAAACTGTGCCAGGTACCTCTAGCACCATTCAAAATATTCTGTTTATTTATTAGTAAGTAATCCTTCCTACATCAAATTAGTTACATGTTTCTCTTTGAGAAACAGTATTCAGATTTGACAGAAGTAGCTACTGCAAATATCACAAGCTTCCCCAAAAGTAAAGTTTTACTAGAAACTCTACAGCAAGAAAAATGGGATAAGGATAAGAGACAGCACCGAAAAAAGGAGGTTTCTCCACTCTACACTCAAATTCCTGTAAATTTTGCTGAGGGAAAACTAACCTGTAAGCAATACTTTTGGCTCAGTCTGACATGAGAAATTCATGAGGTAGTTCAAAGTTCTGTGTTTAGCCTTACATATTAACTGGGCATCAATTAAAAAAAAGTTTTATATGTTGAGACAGTCACAGTGAGTTTTGGAGCTCTCTAGTGAGAACATGTGATCACAGAATAACAATCCTGGCATTGTCCAGCTGAATGCAAGGAAGCACAAATCAAACACTTTATAGTTAATGAACTATTCCATTCACTGCCACACAAAAATGCCCCATATACTGTTTCCAAAAGATCTCACTTCATGTCAAAGTCCTGTAGTGCAATTAAGAAAACTGATATTTAACTGACCTACAAACCAGGTGTGTCCCCCCAGCTGTTACAATAAGTAAAACATTTCCTTTCCAACACAAAAGACCTTTACGTATTGCTTTGGAAAAAAAGCAGTTTTTGTTCTTCTGTTGACCTCTGGACTTCCAAATGTTTAACTTCCTACATCTGGGGCACGCAGCAGTCATAGACTGCAATAAACAGTTTGTATTTAAGATAATGTATGTGCTCAGATATCTCACCTGAAACTAAATGTTTGCTGTTTAATGAACTGATACACCAGGCAAAAAGCTATGAAGAGAGGAATTAAAAACCCCACAAAAACATTCTTGCAGCAAAACATAAGTCAGTCTCTTCTCCAACTGATTGGGGACAATGAATAAATTTGCTTCATCTTTTTTAATCCAAGAAAAAACTCTTAAACTCTGAAAGAAATATGTTCTGAGATTAGTTCATGGGTTTGATGCCTATAGGGGCCATTCACTTTAGAGCTGGACTCAATGATCCTTGTGGGTCCCTTCCAACTCAGAATATTCTGTCAAATCTCTGACATCCATTCACTCTGGCTGCTGATGTATAAGCCACCCAATCGTATTAGACATAAATTTACTAAGAGTGCACTTACACTTTACAGAGACTGAAGTAGTCACAGGTTTATATCATTGCAGACTGGAAAGAATAAAAATGCTCCATTTCTGAAATTGTTAAGACTACTACAGTTTCCAGCAGTGACAGTATCTGAGCAGTCACACACATCATTAATATTCAACAAAAGTGTTCCCTAATGAAAACGCAATTACTTTATTGAGTACTTTTATGAGGGTTCACAAATATGGTACTGCAAGCAATTACATCAACAAACTTTCCATGCCCACTGTCCCTGAAAAACTGTGAGACATACCTGATTACTTCTTTTTGCAGCAGAGTTGGTCTGAGCAGTATTTAAAGAAAGGGAATCAAAAAAGGCTTGGTCAGCTAATGAGTTACCACAGCTAATGCCGTCTTTTGCACCTTCACTTATAATCTGGAATGGAAAAGGATGTAAAAGATTTTTCATGCTTCCATTAATCAAATTGCACTTTATCATATATAATCATCCTAACGTTCATATCACTGGATATTAAAATGATTGCATATAACCTTTTTGAATACAAATTCAATAGACCTTTATACAAAGAAACTGATGTGGTATTCTGAAAGATTTACTTCCACAACAGATGGAACTGGTTTACATTGTAACTGTAACACACAAGATTGTTGTGGCAGTGGACAACTATCTGTAAGTTCCCTAGGGATTAAAAAGGTTGTTAACAATACTGCTTGGAGACTGGGAACTCAATACTCAGAGGGTTGAATTTGGGACAGTAAGTTTGAAGAGCCAAAATCTACTAGACCATGAGATAACCAAATGAGTAAAAACACAAGGCCATGTGAGCATAGTCCTGCTTTCCCCCTCCCTTCCCCTCTACTTGTTTTTTTAAATAAACACAGCACTGGTGAAGGAAGAGAGGCATGTGGCTTAAGAGGTTGCCAGTGTCTTCACCTTACTGGCAAGCTGCAGACATACAGACACAGGGCCCTCGAACTGTGAACCAGGTTCCAGTCTTTGCACTGAGATCCCCATTCCATCCCCAACCCAATACCACTAGTCTTCAAACAAAAAACAGATCAATGCACACTGAAGAGACAGCAAAGGCCCTCAATAAGAAGACAAGTTGAGTGGTCTCTGGGCTTGTGATCCCATGTCCTGAGCCCTAAAACTGAGACTATTCCAAAGATTTATGAGCATGTGGCAAATCTGCCACAGCAACACCAGTGCAAACTTGCATTACTCCTTTCACTTCCATATTTGTATCTTCAACATGAAAAGAAAACGATTTTTGGATTATGATTCAAAACAGCTCATGTTCTGCAGATCACCAGTATTTACTGCAGACAACTTCCTGTTGCATTTCTTGGGCAACTACTAAGAAGCACAGCAGCTTTGGATGGCATGTTTGAACTGGTCTCAAAAGCCAGTTACAGCTGCAAAAATACTATTATATATTCCAAGCTTTAACACTGATAGTTTTATGTTTGAGCATTTCAGTGTGATTAGCAAACCAGAGGATGGTCTTCTTAGTAGTTCTGCTTTTTCAGTGCAGAGTAGTGTAGTTACTTACCTCAACATAATCTGTTGGAACGAGTCCTCTCTCGCCTTGGCTGTTTTTTCCTTCTAACCAGCCTCCACCAACATCCTAGAAGAAGTAATACAGAAATAATTTTGCTAGGCGGATCCCACAGCTTGCTTCAAACAGCTCAGGAGAAAGCACTGTCTTGCTGTCAAATGCAATGTTCAAAACACAGTTATGACTGTATAACCGTGAACAAACTCGCTTAAAGCTGCTGAAGCAGCAGATACTCATTTAAACAGAACACAGACTGTGCTGGTTTCACACAGCTATTGTGGACTTTAGATTTTAACAAGCATGAGAGGAAAAAAAGGTTGATTTTTCAGCACTTTTCATCATTTATGAAACCACAGTCAATTGTCTGGAAACACTTCATAAAAACAGACCTATTAGTATGTCAATTTCAAAGCATTAATTTTAAAATAGACCATAAAGAAAGAAGACTCAAAGAATTAAGCTACTGGTAATATCTGTAAAAATCTCTGCTTCACTTATTGAAGGTGCAGAGATGTACGATGTGTGAGAGCTATTACCTGCAAAAATATTAAGGTTATTCTCAAGATTAAAAGAGCCACATGCCATATAAGATCTGGAGACACTCTTTCTACTTCACATCTATTTTCAGAGGCAGATCTCATGCTATGAGTTAAAAAAGAACTAACACAGTTCAGCTCTGATCTCAGTGGGCCATCCTGATATTGTTTGGCTTTTTAAAACACATGTTCTACATACACTAAGAAACCTCTGCAGACCTTTTCAGTTAAGCACAGTTAATTCAGGACAATATTACCTGGAATAACCCAGTTCTGTTTTAAATCAAACTGTTTAAGGAACATATCTCAAGCTAGCTCACAGGTGAAAATTGGAACCACATATGCTAGACAGCAATTACTGAATTTTAGGTTTTCTCAATTTGCTTTTTAATGGATGTATTTGTTTATTCACAGTTTTGTTCTTTCATTTGGAAATTTTATGTAATCCTGCACACAGGAGAACTCCGTTTATGTATTCAAGAATTTAAACAGTAAAGATCAGTTATTGAAACAACAACTTTCATTTACTTTTCACTCAAGAACACGGCAATAATTAGACATCTCACATTATAAATTCAATTAGCTTGGTTAAACTGCAAGAGCAATGACATCTTGATCCAGAAGTCATATTTGCACTGCTATACTTAAAAGCAATCTTCAGTGGACTTGCATGACTTATCCTATTGCTGTCTAAATTCATCATATCACAAAGGATCAAGATCCTTTGTGGCAATCTATCATGGACAGTGTAAAATAAAGTGTAACTTGGTTTTAAATATACTGCCTTAAGTCACAGATGTCTTTTCAGTGAGAACTAGCTTAAAAGTTGTGAACTATTTATTTATATTTAGTCCTACTTTTTTGAAATGTCATTAAACTCCTGAACTCATTTAAAATGTAACCTCTGCCACAGCACAGCACACTATCGAAGAGGGTGCCAATCCTACTAAATATCTCCTTCAGATATTTAAGATCAGTGGAACTAAAAATAATAAGAATGACACATGACTAGGCTCTCCAAAGAATTAATTTGTTCTGCAGAATCCATGCTTACTACACAAGATAAATAAAACTTGGCTTCAAAATAGGGTGATTTTTTTTTGTATGTGTGTTAAAAGGAAAGCCTATTTGCTAAACCATATCACTACACAAAAATCAAAAGCAGAATAAATCAACATCTCGTTACCAAGGGTAAGAATTATATAGAATAAAAGTGCACTCAAATTCAAAATGTACACATAAATAAAGGGTCGGTGTTCAAAATTACTATTCATTTAACAAACACCTGATAGTGTTATCAATAGTATTTTCACCACTTCTTCCCTGTACCTTATCCGTATTTCTTTAATTATGAAAGAATACGCATATTTAGTAACAATTTTTTGTATCAAGTTCTTCAACAAGCTTGGAATGCTGAAGTAATTGATTAAGAAAATCAAAATCTAGAAGGGAGCTGGCATGTCACATTTAAATGAAAGTGGCAACCACCTGAAAGATTATTACACCCAAAATGTGGAACATTAGGCACACGAAAAGAGATTCATTCAAATGTAAAGGTTATCACCATCATTAGCTCCTTCTTCTTCCTTGGCACTCTGCTCTGTTTAGAAGGAAACAAAGCTGAGCACATTCTTAAGTGTGTGGGTACAATTTGAGAATCCCACCTCCTCCATGAGTGCTCACTGCATTTGTTTCCATGAAGTTATTAGAAAATTCTTTGCATTCAGTTTATTTACTCATTCTTCAAGGAAGGGTAGCCACGGCTTCAGATGTCACCTAGCACCATTTTTCTTCTGTCTGCTAGAAGTAGGTCAGGAAAGTGCACTGAAGGCCTGATTCCATCTCGGTTTTCTTACCGGGTTGGTAATTGTGATGATCTCTCCTTCACTGACTGTCAGCTCGTTGTTTCCAGGCTCAGCAGCAAAATCATACATAACACGAGCCTGTATGTGAAAAAGAATATAACAGTGAGCTTTCCAGCTTATTTAGAAGATTTCACAAAGGAAGTATCAGCACAACTTATTCTTAACTAACAGAAATAGTAAGTGGGGTCAGGCTGAAAGTACAAAGAGCAACTCAGCACGCAGGATGCTAACATTTCCTAGATTTGAACTCCAAACTGAACAGTAACAAAAACTTTACAAGATAAAAATCTCATGTGGAGCTTGTTGGAGGTAATTTACCATAAGGATTCACAGTTCAAGGCTGGCTGCTCTCTGCCATGTCCAGAACTATCTGTACAACATTTTCCAGGGGAAGAAGGAAAGGCTTCTAACTTTAGCAAACAATACAGTTTTTTTTTCCCTACAAGACATATTCCAACTCCAATTTGGATAAAGGGAACTGTTTCATAGAGCAAGCAATTCAGAAAAAGAAAAAACTGCAGATGTAACTAATCACTGCTGTACATAAAAAGTAATATGTCAAATTATGTTTTGAGACTAAATGGGAGGAACTATGCAAATGCACAAGCAATCAGTCAGAGTAGGCCTGTTACATGCTGGCATGGGGGGAAAGGAAAAACAAAACTAACCTAATTTTTAAGTGTTTAGATGCACAAAGGCTTTGCTGTGTACTGACTCTGCTACTACACTACATAAAGAAATGTTACTTTTGAAACACTGACAAAGTTGTCAACATCTAAAGAATGTTTCTGCTTCTTCATACCAAGAATTGTGACATGACCTAAGATTATATTTCCAAACATCTTTTCATTGTCTTCTATTAAATTCCTTTTTGATCTAAAAAGTAGAGGAAGCCCTGAGGAATTAAAAAGGGACTATATTTACTTTCTCACAAACTATTGAAGTGGATGCAGAGAGAAACTATATTTATTTTCCCCATGGAAAAACAAGATCTAGAGTTAAATTTTTAACTTTCCATTTAAACTGGTATATTAGAAAACTTTTAAACCTGGCTCTTTATCTGAGTTTCTCTTCCCTTTAGATAAAACTCATTACAGTAGTAGAATTTATAAAAGATTTATTATTTACACCTCAAGTCTTTATGTAAGCAGATTCCTGAGAAGTAGTTAATACATTATTTTATCCAATTGATGCCAATGGTGGGGTATCTAAGAGAAGCAAAAGGGAAAGCTAGACTACCGGTCAGGAAAGGCAGACAGAAAAAGTACAGATTTTCACAGACAGTGCTGACCTACAAGAAAAATATCAAACTCAGTGTAGACTGCATCATAGGCCTTATGATATAAGGTCATACAGGATTTAATGCAGCAGAAAATTTACTTCAGGAAACACACCAACTTCCCTAGTGCTTCCCTAGCATATCCTGAAACAAGCAAGGCTTACCTTTACCACTAAGACATATGCTTTAGCTACCTCAGCTCATATAGAAGTGAGGTTTGTTCCTGCAGCTTAAAATATTAAATTTAAGACAAAATAAAATTTTATATTGGTGTTACAATTAACATCAGACACTGTACAGCAAAGAATTCCTTCTTGTACTTGGAGGTTAAGAGGAAGGAAAGAAAACCTAAACAAAAAATAATTGTTTCTGATAGAGATGACAATATAATAATGTTTTCTGTTGAAAGTAAATTATGTGATAGGAAAAAAAAAACCTTTCACCATCAAGTCTTGCCTGTCTCAAAACTGCAGGTTGTGATTCCCACCTAGATATCCCTTTTTCTGACATAAAACCATAAAAAGCAGAACTTCCCACCCCAACATTTTATTTTCATGAGTATTATGTGGAAATATTTCTGTCTGGTCAAGTGATACTTTACTTCAGTGTAAATAAAAACAGAGCTGAGAAAAAACCCACATATGTTGTAGTTCAGCTGACAAAGCTTATCTTGAACCATGTGCACAATAAATCAAACACTTGGTCTTCTTCACTAGAGCAGCACAGCATTGCAGAAAACCATGTGTCCCAACACTCTGAATGCTTCCTTGCATGAAAGCTTTTCCCTTAAAATGGAGGCTTTTAACACTTTCAAATTATGCCACACAAACTGAGACGAAGAGGTGAAAACTGTGTTCAATAATAACACTTAGTGCTTTCTTCCCAACAGCACATCAGGTCTCTATGCAAATATAAGAATAAGCTCTTGCCTTACTTTCCCTAAAAAGTAAACTGAAGAGAAGCAGCATACCTTTTGAAATACAAGAACATTTTAAGTAAGGGTGTAAAAAGCACCTCTCTCCAGACCTCTTCCCTCAGCAGTAGTAGATAAAGGTGTCGAACATGTCCTTTTTACATCAGGTTACTAATATTTATCCAGTTTCTGCAAGGTCACAATGTTCAGATACTATGTATCTGAATCATGGGGAAAGCAGCTTTCTTAACCAGGGAGTCTTCTTAGCCTTATTCAATAGTACACTGTAGTATTAAGTTCAATATTCATGGGAATGATGAACGTTTATCTGGACAAAGGCAACAGACAAATTTTACCAGCCTTCAGAGAAACTGGAAAAACATCCTACAGTAATGACCAGACTGGAAAGGTAAGATGTATTTGTCTAATAAAAGAACAACTGCAAATACTAGATTTCCTGAATACAGTAGAGAAATAAAGTTACTCAGAAAAATCTGGAAGTATTCAGCTTGTAGGGAAGGAAAGGCCAAGGCAGATACGTAGAATTGAATGAAGTCCTTGTGCCAAAGTCCATCTATTCACCTGCTCTGGATGGTTGCTTCGAAAGTTGTTTAAAAAAGTAGAGGAGGGGAAAAAAATTACAACAAACCTTGCTTACTGCATTTTAAGAAATTGAAAATTAAAAAGATTCACAATATCACATAAATGGATTATTACAGAGCATTAAGAATTGAGGTACCTGTAACTTGTTGGAGGTAATCTGCAAGCTGATCCATATATTGATGTCTCAAATAAATTCTCCAAGTTTTTCTGCCAGTATTCTCCATTTCACTTGCATTTCTAGGCTTGCTTGCCTAGGCTGGGAATTAAGTCCCTAAGAACTTCCAGTGAGTAAGCTTTAACACTACCCCCCTCCTGTTGAGATTTAATGGGGAAAATAGTATAAACTCAACCAATTCCAAAGTAAGTAAAACTAAGTGACTAAATGTTTTCCCTCAATTAATAAGTGCACTGTTAACATTAGAAACCCCCTGGTTCTTTCCTAGGCAGAGGCATCAGCCCCAATCCTCTTTAAATTTCTAACTATCAGTTCCAAAATACTACAAAATGGAAAATGGTTTGATTTTGCAATGAGCTTTTACCTTCTTACTGGCCACAAATATTGCATACAAGTAGCAGTTAAGGTTTAGAGATAGATCTTTGCAACTTATGCAAAATAGCAAGTGGGCATGGAGAAAAGCATTTAACAAGGAAAGCATTTTAGCTCCTGGGCACTGCAACGTATGCATTGAATATTAGGTCTAAGGTTCAAGACACTTTGAATATTTATAAAATGGGAATTTCTGATGAACTCCAGATCACTGAACTAACACCATGAAGACAACTTCTTCAAAATAGAGGTTTAAAAAAATATAAATAAAGTAGTTGCTACAGTAACTGTTGTGCTTCATATTTACTTCTGTTCACATATAAAAGGATCAAACAATCCAAGAACTACAGGAACTGCAAAGATTCAAACATTTCATTAGTGAAAATCAAAAGGAAAGCAGTAATTCTCATTGTTATATCAACATTCTTTGGAGCTGGTCCTACCTGCTGTAGTTACACAACTGGACTGCGGTTTCCTAATTTACAGATTTACTGACTTATTACAGTCTGAAGCCTCTTAACATTGAGAAGTTCTAAGCATAGCAATCAATCCCTATTACTGTCTCTTTAAAATTATAATAGTAATCATGCCTAAGCATATTAAAACACAAAAGATTCTCCACAATAGAAATCAGTATCTAGATTAGTAAAAGCATTATTCCTCTGCAGATCTGGAACAGACTTAGCTTTCCTCTATTACTTCTGTTTGAGTTGAGTACCTCCCCCTTCTTTCCATAATACTAAAAGCTAAGAGGAAAAAACCCAAACAAACAAACAAGAAAAAGGGTATTTGCCAACTTATTTCTGAAAGTAGACAAAACACTATGCAACTATATCTGTCAGTGTGTCAAGACTCTTCAACATAAATTAAGTGGGAAGGAAGTTCTCTAGCAAAAGTCACTGAAAAAAAAATTCCAATGAAGGGTTACACTATCTCTACACGCTACACTAAGTTACTAGATGAGTATCCAAAATCTCTACAGACATCCTGATCCACTGGCTCTTCTGTGTGTCCCCTAGAATCTTGAAAGAGATGATAAACCAACAGAAGCACCTATTTCTCATCAGAATCTTTCTGTTTCTTCCAAGGTGTTTCACTCAAGACTAGGCTCAGAAGGAAGAGCAGCTTACCCTCAGGCTGGACAACCCTGATGTGCACAGGCACACGCTTGCCTGCAATACAGTTCCCCTGCAGCAGGTTAGCTCTGCATGGAGAAGAACAAGGAAAGCTGTGTATTCCTCTCTAGCCATAAGCATACAGGCTACCAGCAAATGCACAACAGTTGAGATCAGAGAAGCTTTCCTAATAGCTTCCCTGTCTAAGGCTTTCTTGATAAGAATGACTAATGACCCATATAAAGTGATTACTGCTTTTTCTGCAAAGTCATCCTTCTGAAGCAAAATGTTTTTGTAATGCTGGACTTTCTGATTGTAACACAACACTTCTGCACCAAAGTATGCTTTATAGCACCAAAATTGGAGACGCCACTCAAAAACTGGACACACCTTTGAAAATGCTTTCCCTATGGACATTGGGATTAGAAAAAGTTCTTGTGTTATGCTGTAGAGTCATCTGTTTCAGCCATGCATTAGAGTTTAGGAAACTTGGACCACAACTGCTTCACTTGGTCAGCTGGCAGTGGCAGATAGTAAAACGGAAATATCCATAGAAGTTTCACAGCATGAAATTCCCATAATAACTGCATGCCGTCCTTTTTGTAGTTAGCACTTTAGCAG